AGAATTACTAAACACGTTTTTCTATATATCTTTCTTTTCTTTCTTTGCTTTAACAGTACGAGACTGTACATTACACAGCGTCATAGCAGAAAGGAAAAAACACTGTACTTCTCTTTTTGATAAAAAAAGACATGTGTTTGAAAATAGAAGAGTGAATTGTAACCGACGAAACTCTCCTGATTTGTGTTCTAGTGGCAAGACCCGAATAAAACCCGAAATTTGTTTTCCTTTGTTCCGACCCGAACCAATATTTTTTACATTGACCCGAACCCGACCCGAGACAATCGGATCAGACCCGACCCGCGGATCCACCCGACCCGTTTCGGTCTCTGATGTGAACACACGTTCAATGATTTTTTTTATCTCTATTTACTGTCTATCACCTTTCTCTTACGTGTCATGACTAATCATACTCTCTCACAGACACAAAAAGTACATTTTTCTATTCGCCTGTTCTCCTCTATATTTTATTATTATATTTTCATTTGCATATCCATGGATACAGCATAAGTTAAACTACATATATATATATATATCTATGAAGTCCATTTCACTCGCTTATTGTTTCGGATTTTTTTTTTTTAAACAGTTTTCCTTTTATTCACGAAATAATGGTAAAAATAAAAGTACAACTACCAGAGAAAAACACTTATTCGGCAATTCGGAATATCCCATTATATGCCGGATTCTAGATGAACATGCTGAAACAAAATGAGTATATAGAGAAAAGAGATTATACTAGTGTTGGTGAAAAGAGAGAGAGAATTGGGAATTGAATTTTGAGATCCGCTGTATCCATGTGACGTCCTGCTCATAAAGGTTTAGTACATCATGACTGATTAAATCTTCTAGTAGTATCAATAAACTGGAGGATGGTTGTATACACTCCTATCAGGTCCTGCTTAGCCAGTGCTCGGATAGATTCATGTTTCAAAAGTATGTGGTCCAACGTAATGCGATTATCATTAAGAGCAATACGCAGCTGCTCAAACATAAAATTACGAGACTTATCGTAAATAGCACAATCCATGAAAAAATGTTTAGTAGTCTCTCTATTAAAGCCACATGCACACGCTGGTGACTTTTCTAATCCACCTCTAGTAAAGAGATAGTCATTTAGTTGGGGGTTATCAACTCTACATCTCGTATGATGTATCTCCAACCGTCGATCACGCATTACCGGTAAACGAAAGGACGAAATATATTGTAAGACTAATCTGAGTTTAAAATCAGTCAATTTATGTATTGAACGTATATCATTAGGTAGAAGATTCCATGCACGAATACCATCCCGAATAAAGGATTTCTCCAATAACGCCCGACCTCTGAAGTTCAAGGAGATGTCTCCTCGACTGAAACTTCGAGTTTGATAAATCCGGGGTCCTGGCATCGGGAAAAGTTCCTTAAGATAAGTAGCAGTTTTACTATGCATGATTTTATGAAACAAACACATGCGTCGAACGTAAATAAGCTCATTAATTGATAACCACCCTAAGTCTTTAAGAAGTTTCACATGTGATGTGTCCCTCACAGCCCCAGAGACAGCTAAAGCTGCCTGATATTGAATTTGGTTCAGACAACTGATATTGCGTAAATCAGTACCACCAAATATAAAAAAAAAAATAATAAAAATAATGTTTCGGATTTCTTCGGCATATACAAAAATGTCTCATTTCCGTGATATAGAACGAATACAAATAATAATTTATACTATAATAAGATATGAAAGTAGATCAAGAAAAGATGATAACTCGGACGAGACAGAAAAGAAAAAAAACAGAGAAGAAGAATAAAAACGATAATTAGGACAGCATATATATATATATATATATGTAGTTTAACTGAGACTTTGTGTATCAGAATCCAGAATTATACGTATGAAGAAAAAAGAATGACATCACGACATGATCTTACTTTGTAACAAAAAATTGAATTAATAAATGATAATAAGGATGGTAAAGGATTATCTCAACGTAAATTAACTGCAAAATATAATATTTCACTTGGTTCCGTATCAAATGTATTAAAACGTAAAACAGAATATTTACATGATTATGAAACAAATCAGAATCAATATGTTAAGCGAAAATTAATGGATGTTAATGCACAAAAGCTCGATGAGCAAGTGTATGAATGGTTGCACCGCAACGTTCTAAAAATATACCAATATCAGGACCAATTTTACAAGAAAAAACACGAGAAATAGTTGAATTATTAGGTGATAAATTGGGTTCATTTAAAGCATCAAATGGATGGTTAGAAAAATTTAGGACAAGACACAACATTTCACATCGCATTATTAGTGGTGAAAGTTCATCTGTTGATGTGATAACTGTTGATGATTGGATTCAACGAATACCAAAAATTATTGATGGCCATGATTTAAAAGATATATTTAACTGTGATGAAACAGGATTATTTTTTAAAGCTATGCCTGATAAATCATTAACATTAAATAAAGAAGAATGTAAAGGTGGTAAAAAATTAAAAGAACGTTATACTATTTTATTATATGTTAATTCAACTGGTGAAGAGAAATTAAAACCACTTGTAATTGGTATGTACTGCTGTTGAAATATCCTTAAATATTTAAATACTTTAAGTGCTTAATAAGGCTGTTTTTGTTCTTGGTCTTAGGTAAAAGTTTAAAACCACGATGTTTTAACAATTTAAATGTTAATATATTTCCAATAGATTGGCGAGCAAATAAAACTGCATGGATGAATGTTAAGTTGTTTAGCGAGTGGTTATCGAGTTTAAATTACAATATTTTCCGCCAAATACTACATCTAAACTTCAACCATTAGATCAAGGTGTTATACACACATTTAAAACACATTATCGTAAATATTTAGTTAAATATATAATAGAACGTTGTACAACAGTTCAAACGCCAAACGATGAAATTACACCTTTAGATGCTATTTATTGGATAGATGCAGCAAGGAAAGCTGTTACAGATACAACAATACGAAATACATTTCGTGCAGCTGGTTTTACAGATAAACAACATAATGATACAACAGCAGCAACATCACCAACAGATAGTACAGAACCAATAGATGATGAACAATATAATAATTTAAAAATATTAAATGATTTATTACAACATATCACCATTGGTGGTCAAATAATGACTGCAGCTGATTTTGTTGATATAGATAATGATACACCTGTATCTAATGAAAGGTTTGATAACTGTGAGCAGCTTCTAGCTTGTCACATTAGTGATCAAGATGATGATGACGATGATAGTAATAATATATCAACAGAAACCACCAAAAATAACGGAAGCAATGGAAATGATACGAAAACTTCATTTACTAGCAACAACACAACAACCACAATTACATCAATTAATCAATGAATTAGAATCAAAATTAACTGAAGTTTATGTTAATTCAAAAACAAGAAGACAAACAACAATAGAAGATTTTTTTGTACAAAACTAAATAATGTGTTGTATTTGAAGATTTTTTCAACTAAAAGATATTTATATAAAAAGAGATGAACAAGAGAATGAATAGCTCTTATTTCATTCAAGACCAGTGTAGAAGCAGACATTCTGGAATTTTTTCTTAATTTTGCAGCAAAACATGCGTCATCTCTCTAAAGTGAACACCTCTCATAGTGAACACTTTTTGGACGGTCCCAATGGTGTTCACAATAGAGAGGTTTTACTGTAACAGTTCAATATGATCTAAGCTGTTGCTATCAACTAGGTCAGATCTGATATGACTGTATTGAAATTCCATTGTTTAGTCAAGTAAGATAAATTAACAATTTTGTGACATGGTATAACCTTGACCACTAAAAACCACTAACCGTTCCTGACAGAATGTATTCTTCAATTTTACATGATACCTAAAACCACATGCATTACAATTGAGACTTATCAGTGCTTTACTTCCATATCTACCACTATTATCTGATATATTTTTAAAGATTTGACTTTGAGTGGAGTTATGACCAGTGTTGGTATGTATGGTTCAATCACTTTTTGCATTTGGCTCAACTTGACTAAAAGTTTAATTTATATCGATGATCAATCAGTCAATGTTGCCGATGACTTCAGTCAAGATTTCGTACACAGTAATTTCCTGTTACAAGCCTATGGTAAATAAGTTTAATTTATTTGTGCTTAACGGTTCATTCAAATAACACTAAAATAAAATAAAGATGTTTTTTGCAGCAGTTATATAATCAGATGTGCTTCCAAACTATGGTTCGATCAACAATTGAGTCAAATATTATTCAGAAATCGCTTCAAATTTTCGTTTTCCATGTAGCGAAAAGCACACGAAAATATTTGTTCACAAAAAATGACAGCAGAAAAGTGCAGCAAAAATTACTTGCTGGTGACGCGCAAATACTAGGCGTAAATCTCGATTTTCACACCAACTGAATTTTAGAAAGCGTTTCAAGAAACCACTAAAAGTTAACTTAAAAATCCCTTAAGGCGATCATGTAGAGCTTTTTACGGTCTATTCTTTCATGTATTTGATTTTAGTAAGAAGTGATTATTTTTGGCATCAATGGAAAGATTTTCTTCGTTGCTTTACTAAGATTTTACCAGTACATGTTTAATAATGTTAATTCTGAATTTCTCTCAATGGAGTTTTGCGAGAAAAAAGTTTGTATAGTGCATGTTGTGCACTTTAAATTTTGTTCTTTTTTCAAACAAGAAGAAAGCAAAATCTTAGAAATAGTAGGAACACAAAGAGATACAGTGCTTGACATTTGGTGCAAAGCTTTCAGATCACCCGTTATTATCATATTACCAAGGCTGTTTTCCTCTTGACTTTTCTTTGATTAGTTATAGTCATGCGTGACAATTGTTCAAAAAACAGATAAATGAAATGATGCAAAGAAAAAGAAATATCATATAAAGAAAAATACTAACACCAGTTAAGCTAATTCGTTTCTGAAATTGTATAAAGTTAGGAAGGATAACTTGTTAAGGCCTCCCGGATCAGAAGTTTATCAGTAACCACAAGTCTGATCTGGGCGAAATGTTGGGCATGCTGAGGAATAGTTACGGTATATTTCTGAGGCTTCATCTATCGGCGTTTAAGAAATGTAGCTCGAACATGGGCCGAGATGGGGTATGTGCGTCCGGCAGATTTCTCCTCTTAGAAAGCAGCTGGAGAGCTCGGGCTGGTTTTCGGATATCAAATTAACTTAGAGTAACGACAAAAGAGCCAAATTTTTTAATATTTTCTTTGGGTTATTTTCCGGAGAATTTTACTACTTTTAAATTCCCCGGAGATCTTTGGTATTGGCACAAATAGTACGGATTCTAAGAATAAGTAGCTTGGGCTCTTCAGTCATTTACTTAGTTCAATATGGACCTTTTATGGAAAAATCGTATTTCTAACCCGAGAGGAGGTTAGGAGCTCAAGGTACAGGAAGCCGTTTCGGCATCAATATCATATAGAAACTTATATTATCACATATTGCTGGTAAGTTGCTGTTTTCATTGATTGTTTGAAATATAATTTCAATATCAACACTTTGAGTATCTTTATGTAAAGGATCAATGTAATCGTCATCATAACAATTAGAAGACGATTGACAAGTCCAAAATATCCCATTACAGTACAGGGGATTTTGACCTATAAGTATAAAGAAAAAAGATGGCACACAAGTATTTTTTATGGTCATTTTACTTACAAAAAGTAACGATGCGAAGTTGTGTTCCATTTGCCGAAAATTGTTTTATATTAATTATAATATTATTTTGTTTGAAAATACTAATATTAAATATATAGTGGGCATCCTGTTGATTTCTAATCCACTGTGAATAATCACTTAGATCAATTTTTTGATTCATTATCGATTCTCTTCGAAATGATCCAAAGTAGCAATTGCTGCTAAACCGTTCTTGAATAATACTGATATTTCCATCTGAAACTGTCCATCCATCTGGAAAAATGCTAAGATTTGAACATCTGGCATTGCCATTCATTAATAAATTCTTCAAAGGGGCTATTGTACCGTTTGGCAATATCGCACCACCATACGTCAGTGTTGTTGAAAGTTGTTCTTCGGAAATATTTGAGTCAGTTAAATTAGCATAAGCAAAAATAGCTTGATCAACGGTAGCATTCATAAAATTTAACTGTTCTAATAAAGAATAGCTAAAATCAACACGTATTGAGTGAGTTAATGTAAAATCTCCTTTTGTTAAATCAGTATGACTAAAATCTGACTCATGTAACCAGCGACTACTAAATGATGAATTACGTAGAGAAACCCCACGAAATGCTAATTGCATAATTTCATATTGCGGATATAGTTTTTCATTTGATTTTGGCAAACTTAAATCTAAATTATCTAATTCAACATTGTTCAAGTTAATTATTGGATAAACTGTATCTGCTATCCTGATTAATTGTGTTTCATATAAAAATAAAATTACTTGATGCTTTCGTTCAATATCCAATTGTCGTATAGTAGACAATGTTTTAGCACGAACAATAGTTGATGTTATACTGTCTATATCGAATGCGGTGATATTTTTTTCCAAAAATAAATTTGATATATACGTTAAATAACTGGCTAATATTCGCTCTTTTTCTGAATTATCAGCTATTTTTGAACCTTGTTCACGTTCTTGTTTTCCAATTTCAATATCATTCTGTCGATTTTGTTGATTTAGTTTTATTTGTTGTACGGTTGAAATAGTTGTTGCTACACCAATTGTTAATGGAACAAGTATTAGACCAATAAGTTTGAGAATATCTTTTAATTTCATACGACAAAAACTATCGGTAAAAATGGTTTTTGTTTCGGCAGAAATAGTAGTGCATGTACAGTGAATAAAAGATAAGTCTATGCTCGTTTCTTTATCTGCAGTTTTAGCTTCATTAGCCATGATACAAACTCTAGAAGAAAACAAAGTTACCAGCGAACAAAGCTCGTACTGATTGAAATTGAAAATATCTGTTGAGGGTCTCCTAGTCTGAAAGACAAACAGAACTTTGAGACATGAGGTGTTCGATTGGTGAGCGTATGTATGATTCCTTAAGGGTGGTTATCAATTAATGAGCTTATTTACGTTCGACGCATGTGTTTGTTTCATAAAATCATGCATAGT